CCCAGTCCTTGTCCAGCTTCTGGGCTTGCAGGGGGGGGATTTTGGTAGTGCTGGTGCCCCAGGAGATACTTTGCAGCTCAGCACAAGCTGGGAGCAGGGAGGTGTCATGGGATGATGGATGCTGGTGAAGGAGATGGGTGACCAGGTGTGGGGGCCGAGGTGACTGGAGAAGCTGTGCAAGCAGACGGAGCATCCTAAGTAAGGATGGATGTGTTGGCCCTGCATTGTTTCTACTGATTTCTAAGGCATGCTCTGGCCTCAGACATTGTCCTAGGCACTATGGGCTACTTTTGTAGAGTGAAAACTCCTGCCCTCTTGCTCACATTATTGACCACTACATATCTGATCTTTCAAGGCATGAACAAGCGTAAGTGAAGTCTGTGTATACAGCAGGAACTTTCTGAATGCACACTAACAGCTGAGAATGCCTGAGAGCCTTTTGAAACTGAGTTAGTGGGTAAATGGGAAAAATAAGTGATGACACATCATAAAATGGACTTTTATTCCTCTTATTTCTACAGCTGCAGTTCAGTGTACTCACGACTGAAGCAGCAAAGGAATGTAGTATATTTATACAATACATTTCCTAACCAGCCAACATTTACATACAGTATGTGAATATGGATACTAAGTTATATATGGTGTAATATAGATAGACTATATACATATCCTTCATTCTAATATATATATAACTGAAATATACCTATATAGGAACAAAGTAACAAAATGGGATGGAAGTAGGAGAGAACTGCAGGATGACTTTTTCTGGAATTTTGGGTAAAGATGGGAAAAAATCTGGTATAGTTGTGGTATTTATGGTCAGATTCTGACAGGTGAACTGAGACAAGGAGGCACAAAAGCACAAAACAACCATTTCTATGTTAAGTTTGATGGCTTTGTAATGGAAAATAACTGCGGTGCTTGAAGGTAATTGACCTTAGGACCTTAGTACAAAAGGTGTAAGAAAAACAGAATAGAAAAACAGGACCTGGGGACGGGGAGTATCTGGGACTAGCAGATGTCCAGGATGGGAGCAGTTAAACCAACTGGTAAGTAGAAGGGCAGGATGATTGCTGTGTCTGTGACGTTAATTAGGCTGGTGATGAGATTGTTGGGAAAAGTGACCGACCCTTAAAGACCACCATCGCATTTTTGTATGCACTCCGGAAACTGTTTGGAAAATGATGTAATATGCCCAGTGACCACCTAAGGATGGCCCGCTTGGGAATACGGCGACACACGTTAGGAGGAGCTATCCCCTGTGTCTCCTGGCGCCGCAATAATGAATACCTGCTTGTCAACTTGAACCTCTGTTGGCGAGCTTGTTCCTGGAGTTTTCTCCGAATCAGAACTCATACAGCTGGGAGCACTGAGTGCCTGTTAGGTCCAGGCTCACTTACGGCTATAAAGCATGTAAATTTCATTAATCTATAGGTTCATTCTCTGAAGTAAATCCTAGATATTTCCTTACTAGACACTTTCCCAGGACTCAGAGGTGATTTGCCGTTTCATTATCACAGGGATTAATGTGATAATTTCTGTCTGGTAGATGGGGGGAGAGGAGAGATGAACCCTAGAAATTACTTACACAACTACCCCACCAAATCTTTATTTTCAGTTTCTCTTCCAAAAGCGAAAGCTTGCCCCAGAGCTGAAACATCAGATAGAAACGAGAGAAGATAAGGTGATATAGTCTGAACCTTACTTCATGTGCATCTCTACTGAAAAAACAATTAACTCCCACTGTTACCAGAGCAAGTCTCCTTTAAGGAGTAGCTTTCCAGTACTGCTAGGAAAGCGGCTGAGAAAAACTGTCCTGCATAATTATAACAGAAAGCACTAGCTGTGTCCTCTTCTGTAGCAAGAATTTGCTGCTGGAAGCCCTCACTCACAATGTGTACACATACCAGCTCTAATCTGCTATTTTTTTCTTAAATGCACTGTGTTCTAAATAGATAAATCAAGCTGCTCGCAGTTCAGCAGATGTTTGCTCATTGCTTTCTAGGGATTCTTTACCATTTAAGCAAATATTTCCCAGAAACTGATCACTGATGCATTGCTCTCATTACTTCGGTGACTAAACTCACTGGATCTGGAGAAGCGTAGCAGCAGCTTTTCCATCACTAGGTTTTAGGCCTGGTTGAGACGGATCATCTAGACTGACAGAAGGAGAATATTTATGGTGTCCTTTCCAATTAAATCCTCAGTGTCTCTGATAAGATGGCCAGGGTTGCCAGAGGTATTTTTAATGATGTGAACAGCTGCTACCTAAGAAGCCTAATGATCAACTCGTGGCCATGAAATGGGTGTTGTATAAGTCACGACTGGGCCAGATTCAGAACAATAACCTCACAATTGAAAGTTCTTCAGGCTATTTCCATCACCCCTTCCCTGATTCGCCTTGTGCTGCCTCTGCTCCTGCTCCCCAGGGAGGATACAGGGTCGTTCAGCGCAAGCTGAATGATAAATGGCACTTGCTACCTCTATGCCTTTTCCCCTGGGAACATGGGAGCTTTTGCTCATGCTGCTGATGTTCTTGGGCCATCCAGGCCGCAATTCGCTTTCCTCCACAGTGTAGGAATTGCACATCTGTATGAAATGCAGCCGGGTCCCTTTGGTCCGGCTGTGGTGAATGTGCGACGGGGAGGTTCCTTGTTGTCCCGATGAACACTGAGTGGGCTGGTCTGTGTGTGCTGGCAGGGTGGAGCTGCTGGTGCAGCTGTGGGGAGTGTTTCCTATCAGTTGTTGATGTGATGCCATGGCCAGTCTCCAGTGTGGGAACATGCCATTTCCTGCCTTCCAGGGTTACTGCAAAGGACTTGTTGCAGGATCCCATTCTGAAGTGGGACAGGCAACTCAGTAACAAGCCAAACTTAAATATATAAATATGGTGAAACACTGGCACTATGCCTGCTGGCAGGCCAGAAAACTGTGCTATACGTCTCTGGCATAGCTTGAATGTGCCACATGAGCTCTTTCCAGATGCTGCAGTGTAAAATGTGCTCAGCAGTGACTCAAGAGAAAGCTATCCAACAGGTCTGTTCTCCATGGTCCTTTCCATCTCCCGACTCTCTGCTTGCCAGCCCCTGTGTCAAGAGGGGAGGGACTGTGCCAGCAGCCCTGGGCTGTGTCTTATATTTGGCTGACTGCTTCATGAAACATCCCAATGGCTGGTGGAAATCCTGAAGCCCCCAGATGTGCCTAATCCCGCTGGGAAGTGAGATGCCCTGTGAGAGCAGTGGACTGAAACAAAGGGAGGTTGCCTGAATCACACACATGTGCACACACATGATTCTGTCATTCCCTTTTCTCTCTCAGATGAAGCTTTATTTCAAAGTTCGGGTCAGGCCCTAAATTTCATGATCTAATGCCTTGAGTCTCTTTTGTCTTCACAGGGCATGAGCTGCCACAGAAGGGCATTGATAAATTGCCCTGGGCAGTCATTAGTGTTACACATCCACATTATCCTCCTGCCAGTAGGCAGCAGGATCCCAGTGCCACATCCTTGCCTGCCCCAGGGGAGCCAGTGGCATGGTGCAGTGGCAACACATGTGCAGGGGCATGCTCTCCCTGTCTCATGCTGGCAGGACTGGTCCTCTGGCAGAATTGTGAATCTCCCCTGCTTCCTGGGACCCCAGGAGATAAGACACCTGTCTGGAACAGGAAGAAACTAGGAAAATGCTGGGCCCACTTCCTTCTTCCTCACTGGGAGCAGTGGTCCACCTAGCTCAGTGTCCAGTCTCTGCACGGACAGCATGGATGCAGCAGGAGGACTTGGCAAGCAGATAATGTCACTTGTGCATGGCTTTCATCCGGTCCCAGCAATTTGTGTCTCGGGAGTGCCTGAGTATCAAAGGATCAAAGTCATCATAGCAATTAGTCCTCCATGCATGTCTTTGCTATGAACTTCCCTGGTTGCCTTTTGAACCCATGAAGCCCCCCCCTGCTCCATGACAAGGAGCTCCCTGCTCTGCCATTAATGGATGATCTGCATTCCCTGTGTAGTCCAAAGTGCAATAGTGCCACATCCATCATCTGCAGAGAAGGACCCCAGCGTCCAAAATGTTGCTACAGAGGAGACAGCAGCCTCCCTCCCAAGGCTCTCCCTCCTTAGCTGTTGCCACATAAAACAGGTTGCTATCGTGCACCTAGAGGAGAACATGCAGGCAGACTTTGGGTACAGAAAAGCTCTGTAACACAATTAAAATAGGACTATTGTGAGTAACAGTGAAATAACAGAAAGCGGGCCAGTTTGTGGGATGCATTTCTATTAAGAAATGGGAAGGCATCTTAGCCAGGGGAGATCTAAGAGACATCAAATCATATAAGGAGTGACTTGGCTCCTGCCTGGCCTGCTGGACTGATGGTCCCCTGAATGTATCTGCAGCACCTCCTCGGGGCATCCAACAGTCAGAAGGAGCATATCTTGTTGCCCTGCATATATATGTGTGTGTGTGTGCATATGTGTTTGGGATGAAGGAGGAGCAATGTTTTGGTCTGATGAGTTGCAGAGGGAGCCACATGCCGTGAATGTGGGCTCATGGGAGGCAGTTTGTTAGTGCCAGCAGAACACCTCAGGTTTGTTGTCTGGGAGGTGAATGAGATGAGCAAAACACTTGGTGCAATGTGTCATGAAGTCTGTTTCCCAAAGAAAAGGAAATAAAGGGAAAAAAAGGAAAGAATAACGAGAATAATGGTTGCAAGAAGCTGCCCTGGGCTGCTGAGTGCCCCTTTGATGCTGGTGTATCTTTTGCTGCTTCCAAACCATGCTGTAGCCAGGCTGCGCATCCCGGTGAAAAAAGGGATCTGCTTCCCAGAGGTGCTTGCTCTGCCATTCCAGCCCTGTTTTGTTTCCCTTTGTGCTTGCTGTGAGCCCACTGCCACTTGCTGCTTGTGCTGGGTGACAGATAGCACTAACAGCAGCAGCTTCTGCAGCAGTGGGACATGCTGAGTGTGGCGTTCTGGCACAGAGGGTTCTGCAAGGCAGCAGGTGACAGAGGTACTGCATGTTGGAAGCCAGGGCCCTGTCTTACAATGAGGATGAGAGAAAACAAGCTGAGAAAAGGCATGCTACGGCCACAGGGGCTGTTTTGTGTAGGGACAGGGAGAGGACTTAAACACAGGAAGTTTAAGTCCCTTCCATCATGCTAATCCTGGGCCCTTCTTCAGATACCTGACCGTGCCACCTCATGTCCTTGGCCAAGCTGCCCAAACCCTCATGCCTCAGCCTCCTTGTCCATATCACTCTGTCCTCTGGCAGGCGTTGTGTGTGCAGGCACGGATTTAAGTGGCTCAGTGTCCTCCATTCATCCCTGTCTCTTGCTCTCCCGCTGCGGTGCTGACAACTCATATATTCCCGGCATTGCACTGTGGTTTCTCTCTGGCTTTGGGAGCCCATGTGCCAAATACTGCTGATCAGCCTGCTGACCAGCTGCATCTGGTGCATCCAAAGCCAGCCAGAAGCTGTGGAGCGTATGCTCCTCTGTGATGGCTGCCTGGTGCTGATCACAGAACATGGGTCAGGCTGGTGGTGCAGGGATCAGGCAGAGACCAGCTCTGTCACCCACATCCCACATCCAGTTCTATGCTCAGTGAGCAAGCTACCAGCCCCTGACACCAATGTGGGGATCAGCTCTGAAACTGAGGGGCTTATGCTGCTCTCTGTCCACCTGCAGCACAGCAAAGACTTTCTAAAATGGGAGCGTGTATCTAGACCCTCCTTAACAGTCTTCTGCTCTGTCCTGAACATGGTGTGGCCAACTGGGGAGTTGCTCTGGGAAGCATGAACTGGGTGTATCCATGTCATATTACAAATCCCAGGTTAAGCATAGACCTTCTTTGCCTTCTCTCTCTGCCTTTTGCCTCTGTGCTAATCTGAACTCCATAGCAAGCAGCAAAAGAAATTCCTGCACCTGGCCCAGAGTCCACAGTAATGGTACTGACATTTGGATGATCATACACTGGGGCAGAGCATGCTTGGGCAAAGGAGTGGCCTCCTAACTTGTTTTCCCAGCCTGAGCTGGTGGTAATTAAGCAACAGATGATGTGACTGGGATTTTGATCACCTATTAATGCTAATCAGGTAGGTCAGCCGAAACAGAGGGTGTGATATTTCAAAAGAGGCCCTTCAAGGGCCCCTTTCAGGAAAGGGGGTTTGGAGCTGGGGTTATACTGGGTGGTTTAGCATGAGGCTTGGGTATGTGTAGTGGAGGAACAGGTTTCTAACCTGTGGAAGATTGTTGTTAGTTTCAGAAATGTCTCAGGGTCTTAAAGGAATGGCAGCAGGTAAGTAGATGTTGGTATTTTGTTGCTTGTTTAGGCAGAAGTATTTCTGCTAGAAGTCAGAGGTGTTGCTTGCATCAATTTTCTGGTGTCTCTGAGGCCAGCTGTAACCCTGTGTGTGTAGAGTCTAAATTCTTGGGGGTAGCCTGTTAAAGCAACTGGGGGGTTGGCACTTGTCCTGGCAGCTAGACAATCCCTTTCCTGTGAAAAGATCTTCAGGCAGAGAGCCTGCCTCTTGTGTGTGTTTGAGAGGGTTCTAGGAAGGACACCATGCTGCAGCTTATCCTGGGAACTCAGAGGCATGTGGATATGTCTAAATGTAGCAGCAGCCCTACCAGGGCTCTGAAGGATGTAAATTACTTCAGTAGCAGTTATGCCATCCCTGCTCATGTGTATGCTATGCCTTGTGTACATAGACACTTGGCATGCATCTGAAGGATCGCTTTTTTTAATGTATTGACTCCCTGGAGAATCATGCCTGGAGTTTAGGAGAGGAAAATTTGAGGAAATGGCATGTTCCTCCTCATACCTCAGAGCCCTGTACTCCTTAACCTGACAACCCACACGTTCACCAGATTTAGGTACTGTGGAAGAAGGCAGAGCAGCTGTGGTGTATTAATTAGTAACTTCCAAAGCTGTTGAAGCCTCTGGAGCTGGGTTATTACCTGTAAAGCCTTGGAATAGTTGCATGCCCTGTGGGTGCAAGGACACCAGCATTATCTGTTGCAAAGGAAAAAGCCTGCACAGATGCCCAGGTTGCTGTTTCTGCTGCTCTTGGAGCTGGTAAGGAGGAGGGAGATGTCTGGAGGCGATGGCTCCCACTGCTGCCTCAGGGTCCTGCAGGGACTTGCAGCCTTCTGGTGTGGTTGCAGTGAGATGTGGCTGCCCTGGGGTGAGCTCAACTGGAGCTGCTGAAGCCCTTCATTGCTTTCAAGGGCTCCAGTTGCTTCTATGCTCTTCAAATTGTTGCTGATTTGGTTTTTTAGCTTCTAGCACTGAAAAAAGTGCTGTCAATCCAGCTTGGAGGGTCACTTTCCATAGCCAACCATGACCGTAATGCATTAAAAGTGCAGTAGGAGCACTGATTTAAAAAAAAAAAACCCAAACCTAAGTCTTTTATTCCAAATGTTCTTAGTTGTTAAACTTCTCATTGATCTCACAGAGCTGGGGTGACATCTGGAGATGGTTCCTTTTCCTCTTCTGCGTAACAAAGGAGTGTGCAAACTTCATCAAATGTAGGTGTACCAGCTACTCGTGTCAGTAATCCTGAGCAAGCCCTTTGAAGAAGGAGGATAAGTGATGTACATGATAAACTGGCCTGGAATTCGTAGTGTGTTTCTTTAAATATGTCAAATACAGGGATTTATCATAACTTTTATGTTAAGAGTACCAAGAGAAATGTCTGACAATCTACAAGGCCCTTATCAGTCAATGATATTTGGGAGCTTAAACCTCTTAAACTGTTGACGAGTTCTCATATTTTATCATACACTGCTATGGCAAAAAAGAACTTGGAGGGTTTGGAGCTCCTACATATGCTCTTTGATTTCATTTTTTGAAGCCACAATTACTTCTCTGGCCTGCACTTACCCGGTTTTCTGTGTGAAGTCCCAACCTAGCCCTGAAACGAGCTGGAACTCATTAAATCTGAGCAGGATGTTTGGTTCTGTAGATCTCATTTGAAAGTCAGTTGATGATTCTGATATATTATTACAAATTTACAGTTGTCCTTGGTTGATAATTATGTTCTAAGTCTGTCCTTCTAATTAATCTGAGTGCATACTTTAAACGGCTCTGCCATGGCTTTCTTTAAGTAAATTACTTTCAGGAATGACACATTTGTTACTAATCCCCCTCCTCCCCTTATAGCCAAATTCTGTAATTCTCTCCCAGACTGGTAATTCTTTCTTATGCAAGCAGACCTACTGACTTCACATTTATTCACCCCAGTTCAGACCACCACTTAAGCACATGGTTAATTGTAAACATGTGTTTAGGTCCCATTGACTTCCGTGAAGCTTAAGTGCTGTCTTGAATAGGCATTCTTTTCCAAATTGGAGCTGGAAAATTAAATTTGTCCCTCTGTATAAAAGATCAATTCAACTGTTATGCCTCCAAAAGAAAGCTGAAAGTTCTGTTGGATTAAGGCAGGATATACACTTAAAGTGTAATTACTGTTGCTGAATACCTTATCATGTAAACCATTATTCTGGAAGGAGCACACACATTCAGAGATGCTAAGGGATGTCTATTTTTGATACTATCTGTATATAGACACAAAATGCATCTCCGCGATTCCTGGAAGATGATGATTTTGACTTGCGTGATCAGTAAAAACCTTGAAGTGATGTATAGCCAGGACCACGCCAAGGAATTTACAGAAATTTAAAGTAATGACTAGCAGAAGCAATGCTTTTATTAAGCAAAAGGATTGCGTGTTTTATTTGGGGTGGGTCACTGTTACATGTTCTCTATTTCTGCTGCAAGCCACCTTAATAGAAACACTGGCCTGTCAATTTTCATTAAAAGAAGAACAGAAAGAGGACCATGTTCTGGCTGCCTGTGTGCATGGAATGGATCTGTTATGCCACAGATCCTGGTGAAGCAGCATGCTTTTACCTTTGTTTTGGCTCAGTTGAGGTCTGACACAGGAGGCAGAGGTGGGCAAACCTGAATGTGGGCAAGGTTGCTTCAAACCTGCCTTTGCATCCCTCCATCCGTGTGCATCTTATGCAAGACCAGTGGGCTGCAGGCAACATCGGAGACTAACGAGGTGGAGGGCAGGTGCAAGACCAGCATTTGTCCTATCAGCTTTTCAATCATGCTGACGTTAGGCCCAAACAGTGCAATACTCTCGTGCTTCTGGTTTAATTTAGCTTCATGCCAGCAGCTTGAGCAAATGGTGCTCACATGGAACAAACAATAGTGACCGTACCCATGCACGTCTGCTACTCTGACTATTTGGGACCCCTAGGAGGTCAGTGTGGACTGGAAGGCTCTTAGTGGCTTTGCAGTAGCCAATATGTGCTAATTGGGAACGACTGCTCTTGCTGATATGCTGCTGTGTTTACAGTGCTGCAGGTACCAGCTTTATATCAATGTATAAAATGAGGATGAGAAACTTTAAGTAGGAAAACAGGCTCACTGGAAGCGATAAGCCTAAGGAATCGTACTTCTGGCACAGAGCAAGCAGGAAGGAAATCTTACCAAGTCTCTACAGTTCTTCAGAACCAGTAGAAGGGTTAACCTTTAAAAACATTTTCACCAATTGCTTGGCTTTCCCATGACATCAGTCTTCTCAGTTTCCATGTTCCTTTGAAGAGCAGCATTGCTAATAACTAACCTCATGTCTTTCATATAATCCTGAATTTTCCTTTGAGCCTTCAAGAAAAATTGCAATTTCCCCTGTGCTAAGCTTCACTTTGAATTTGGAGCCTGAAATTCTATATGTAAGACATTGCAAAGGAGTCCTGGGAGAGCAAAAAGATTTTCACTTCTCATGTTTTCAAAACACTTGGCATTAGTTGTATGACAGCATTATAATTCTTTACCAGTATTGCAGATCTAAGCATGCATGTGGTGCATATTGTGTGCACATTGTATGGGGTATACTTAACTATTCAGGTGTATTTTTAATGCACAAGCCAAATGCATGTATGTAGGCTGTATGACAGATTCACATAGTTTGAAGGTGATGGAGAATATGATGTTTATACATGCATTGACCCTTTTCCAGCAGCAGCCTTTCTGTCATATTGTCACATTGTTAATGTATCCAGAGGTTTAAGAACACTTCCATGAGCAGCTGCAAAATCTTGCCCCTCTACTCTGCTCTCGTGAGACCTCACCTGGAGTACTGTGCGCAGTTCTGGTGTCCTCAACATAAAAAGGACATGGAGCTGTTGAAACAAGTCCAGAGAAGGGCCACGAGGATGATCAGGGGACTGGAGCACCTCCCGTATGAAGACAGGCTGAGGAAGTTGGGGCTGTTCAGCCTGGAGAAGAGAAGGCTACGTGGAGACCTCATAGCAGCCTTCCAGTATCTGAAGGGGGCCTATAAGGATGCTGGGGAGGGACTCTTCATTAGAGACTGTAGTGACAGGACAAGGGGTAACAGGTTCAAACTTAAACGGGGGAAGTTTAGATTGGGTATAAGGACAAAGTTCTTTACTGTGAGGGTGGTGGGGCACTGGAATGGGTTGCCCAGGGCGGTTGTGAATGCTTCATCCCTGGCGGTGTTCAAGGCCAGGTTGGACAGAGCCTTGGGGGAGATGGTTTAGTGTGAGGTGTCCCCGCCCATGGCAGGGGGCTTGGAACTTGATGATCTTGAGGTCCTTTCCAACCCTAACTACTCTATGATTCTATCTTGCTTCACCTTGTGGAACACCCCTTGGTAATAGAAGGGGAGGGTATGTCTTTGGAAGGACAACACACTCCTTATTTATGAGTAGGCTTGAATCCAGTGGTATTTCCACCTCAGCACAGCTCCCTTTTTATGGTGCCCAGTAGTAAATGCCAAGATGCAGATGATGCCTAGACTAGGGCATCCCGGTGTGCTCCCAATGTACCTGAAGAAGGGTCTAATCATGTAAACACCAGGTGTGGCCCTTCAAATAGGGACCTAAGGCCTGGCTTGTTGCAGCAGTGGCCTTGCTGGGATGCAAGGAGAGGTTAGCTGTTTCTGTAGGTTGGCCATGCTCTTCCTTTGCCAGTCCATTGGGATGCTCTGTTATGCACCCTGACATGGGAAAGGTGCCAAATAAATGTGGTCTTGGATTTCTGTTCCTGTTTTGTTTGTTTTTTCTTTTTTTCCTAAATCCTAACAGTTTGTCTTTGTGTGAGTTTTTCTTTTGTGCCCTTTGATGATTCTGTTTAACTTGGAGCAAAAGAAAGAGTTGAATGAACTTCTGATGTTCCCCATTTCATGGCCTGCTGATAACTACATGATAACACTCTCCATTGGATTCTTCATTAAAAAAGAAAACCAGGAGGGGAAAAAATGA